GAAATCTTATCTTTCTACCGCCATCTGGCGTAATCCGATCGGACTTATACAACGCAAGATACAGATTAGTAAAGCCCTCTATTGGAAAAATAATGGATTACTTTTTACTAGACCTAATATTACAATCTCATCACAACTGGAGGGGAACACTTCTGTCCGGTTATTTGTCAGTACGAGGGCGGTTCAATAAGTACCCGTGTTAGAAATGAAGACACCATTTTTTCAAAAAATTTTTTTTTATTTTTCAACATAGTCCCCTTTTAGAAAAATACACTTCTTCCAACGTTCCTGCCATTTTTTTAACCCTTCCAAAAAATAGGATTTGTCGAACTTTCCAAAATACGCCTCTGTCTCGGCGATGACTTCCTCGTTTGAGCTAATTTTTTTTTCCCGCAAGCCATTTCTTCATGTTAGGGAACAAGAAAAAGGGAGCCAGATCAGGTGAATACGGGGGGTGCGGCAGCAATTCATAACGCAACTCATGCAGTTTGGCGGTTGACAACCGCATCCGCTTGTTGTCCACCGTGAGCAATCGCGGCACCCATCGGGCCGACAATTTTTTCATCGCCAACTTATCATGTAAAATATTAATTGCCGTTCCCGTCGACACACCTACGGCCTTTGCTACTTCGCGCACTTTCGTTCGTCGATCAGCGAGAATCATGTCGTGGACTTTTTGAATGATTTCCTCGGTAACCACGTCTGCCGGGCATCCTAGTCGCTCCTCATCAAAAACGGATGTTCGCCCACGTTTAAATTCGTTGAACCAATATCTAACTGTGGTCATAGATGACGAAGTGTCCCCATAAACAGCATCCAACTTTGCTTTTATCTCCTCGCATTTTTTCCCATCCAAAATCAAAAAGCGAATTACCGAACGATACTGCTCTTTTTCCATCTTAGCGAAAATCACGAAACATGTCTTACTCGAATGGCTGCCAAATCCAAACTAAACCTATCAATCAGTCTGCAATTTGTTTTGCCATCGTTTGATAGATGACAGCACATGATGATAACACCAACTTCCCTCAGGAACACCCTGTGTCGTCTAACACGGGTACTTATGGAACCGCCCTCGTATAGTGTGTACTATTTACCATATAAATATTTTTTTTAACACCTTGTATATAAACATACATATACATACAATATCTATTTTAATGTATATATATATACATACAATATCTATTTTAATATATATATATATATATATATATATATATATCTATTTCAAAATGTTTGCACTAAATACTCAATGTAAAGAATATAAAAATAGTTCTATTGTTTCTTAGAATTTTATAAATAGCTGAGAAGGTTGTATGTTATGTACAATTGACGTTAAGTTTATTTATTGTTAAGTGTATTTATTGTCTGTTAAAGCATAAAGATGTTTACGGGATATTTTACAAACGTGATCAACCAAACACAGGTCTCATTTTATGGATATATCTTTTTATTTTTGACATACCTCGCAAGAAATTTGACCGTGTATTTTTCGTGTATTTTCTTGCCTCTGACATCATCAAGGAAAACGACGATCGTAATTTTTCCTTGGGATAGAAATATGAAAAGTGAGAAGTTTCACGTGAACTTAACGATTTTAACGATCATATAACATTTCGAGGTATGAAAACGTGAAACTTTTCACGTAAACTTTTGCGTCTTGAGAACTGATGACGGAAAAGTGAAAATTTAGTGAAAATAGATATTTTTCTGCGTTGATGTACAGGGTGTCCAAAATTTTCTGGCTAATCACTCATATGAAGGTAGAACAAGTTTAACTGAGCAGAAAAGTCCTATATCATTTTACAAACAACCATACAACAAAATATCGAATTATTAATAATTTAAAATATTAATATTTGAAATTATTAATAATTGAAAATGGCTGTAGAGGCTTTTTTAATTAATAATTTAAAAATTGCGTATTATTTGTAAAGTGGTACAGGATGTTTTGTTAGTTGGCCTTATCTATAAGTATATGATAGCTGTTATATCTAGCGACAGGTTCAAAATCCAAGGCTCAAAGTTCAATATGTTGATATCTGTCCTTAAGTATGATAGTTGCCATATATTTGTAGATCAGATCACTCTGAATAAAAAAAGTCCGTTTTGCAAATAACACCAATTTTTGAAATATTAATTAAGAAAGCCTCTATACATGGCTATTTTTAATCATTAATCGTTCGAAATTTTACGTGATTATTTGCAAAATGGTAAAATACTTCTCTATTCAGTTTCCAAAGAAGAACGAAAAGTCATATAAAAGTCAATTTGACGTAGAAGAATGATATTATTTTGACGTTATCTTAATTTTTATATGACTTTTTGTTGTACTTGGATTAACTCGTTCTACTTTCTCACGAGTGACTGACCGAAAAGTTTCGGACATTTTATATATGCATATAGTATGTTCGCCTTGGTATTTGCTAAATAGAATTTATGTTCATATTGTGTATATAACATTTATGTATATAACTTTGGTTCATATTGTGTATATAACATTTGTGTATATAACATTGGTTGTATATAACATTTAAAGTAAACGAGTAATACGTCATTTCAATCTAAGATATTAAATTAATCAATCTGAGAGTAATTTTATTTTTCGCATATCTAACTACATAATCACTCTGCGATTTGTAAAATAGTTCACATGGAATCTGAATGAGCGAGAAAAGTGAAACATTCGACTTTAAGTCGCATGATCGCTACACAAGAGCCTTAAATCTCTGTAATACATAAGAATCGTCGAACAACTCCCTGAAACTTGTCATGACAGAAATTTTTATTTTCAGGGAACAGCCTTTTTTTCTGTACAGAATGTCGTATCTCTGGTACACGTGGGTGGGTTTCCTAACTACAATTCTGGTGGGCCTAGTGGTATCGTGGTTTACGGGTCCACATAAGTACAGTTACGCAGACAAGAGATTATTTACACCAGTTATACATGGTCTCTTGCGTTCGCGAGTTTCTCCGAAAGCGGTACGTATGTATTTGCTCTTGCACGATCGACTCATTGATAAATCCCGTCATGCTAACTGACGATATCCGCATTCTTATGTTTTCCGTAGAACGAGGCTGAACTCACGAAAATAACGAACGATACGAGCGACACGACGGCGCAGATTTCTTCAAAATGCTAGCGATCGTTCTGTTCCATCACCGATCCAGCTAGATGAGATTTGCACTCGCGGGGATTAAATCTATATTCGTCCGAGTTTGCTTTTTAATTTCGGTATCTTGTAAAATTATACGTTGCGGAGTAATTGACACATCGTTTGTAATATTTTTTAATTCTTCAATCGTCCATCGTGCATAATCATCAGTTATTACAATACATACAAATCGAAACTACTATGTTGAATATTCTTCACCATACGCATGCACGGATTAATTAACATTAAATAAATTATTATACAAACCTAGGCAGTGAAAAATACATCCAAAATTAAGGAACGAGATCGATTTGTACACAATCAACGTCTTGTATATTGCCTATTGAATTAAATTTAATTAGGCAAACAAAAAATAATATAGTGGAAAGACTTATTCAAAATATTAATCGCGTATCTACTCGTACAAGTGTCCATCGTTAGTGAAAATGTCGCGCAGAATGCACTTCTTTTACAGAAAAATATTATTGGCTGTGATGAATTGCCCAAGCAGGATAAAAACTTATGTAAAAGTCAAGATGACAAAAAGTAATAATTTATAGAAAATTAAAGTAATGTTATTTAACACTAGAAGAACCAAGGAGGTCAGAATGACTTGTTTGGCATTTCTTATAATCATTACAAATTTTCAGTACATTTTGTTTTCTAACATTTTGTATGACTTTTTCTTGTCTTTTTGTTATAAAATTTTATGTAGTATACCTACATATACCGAGATGAGTCATTTTGATTCCCACGGAACATAGGTAAACTTGTGATTTTTTCTTTCTTCTTTTATTTTCTTCATCTTGTTACGTGGCCGTAACAATATCTTCGTTTGTTTGTAAAAACATGTGATGCTTGAATATGTCGATATTCTTCTGTTTTCGATGCTCTTGCATCGTAGAAAGTATTTCGCATTCAGTTAGAAAGGAACACTTACAAAGGACGTTATTTTGTGCCATAATTCTTTCAAAAAATCAGAACTCTATTTTTTATCGTAATCTGTAGAAATATTTTAACCCATAAAATTACTTAGAAACTATGGGATTTTCACGAAGCAGTAAATTACTGGAAAAAATAAATAATTTAGAACAAAATTGTTCTGATACCGACTATGATGAAAGTGAACCAGTAGATTGTGAAAATGGATTATCCACTATCATATAACGAAAGTACAAGCGAGTCATCCGATACTGACAGTGAAGATGAAAAATTTCTATTTTATGCGTTTTTATATATTTTACTATTTTATGAGCAAAAATATAAACTGAATAATAATAATAAAATGATAACACTAATAATTTAAAAAATAATTAAGCATAAAAATCAAAGACATTTTTTACAAGTTACAATTATTTTAGCAGAGCATGTACCACAGACTCGTTTATTACATGTACCACAAATATTCTTCGTTTTATTATTAGTACAATATGAAATTTGACCGTTTACGTTTCATCGAAATACGTATCTCGTTTTGTGATGGTGTACATGAAGATATTTCTTCTGCTTTTAATGAGGATCGTCCGGTTAGATCTTTGTAGTCATCTGCAAGTTCTTCGGCTAATTGAAATAAAAAGTCTTTTCTTGAAATATTTTCTCCCGTTTCTTTGTATAATATCCAGGCATTTATTCCGGCAAGATCTAAGATATTATAAAATACTTGTAATGGCCATTTCCGGGATCCAGCTTTCATAGTATATTTCCTGGCTATTTGATCTGTCATATCTACGCCAAATTTGACGTTGTTATAAAATGCCACAGTTTCAGGCAAACGTTTACCATCTTTTCCAATTTTAACAGACTTATGTTTCGAACTTAGTAACAATACTTTTTTATTTAGTTTAGTCTTGTATATAGTAAGAGTACAATTTTCTGTTTTATAAAGAATTGTCGAAAAGCGAGGCATATTATCTTTTGATTTTGCAAATTTAGGTAATTCTCTCTTATTTTGTTTAATAGTGCCAACTAAGGAAGATCTTTTAGTTGTGAGTTTAGTTGCTAATGACAAACTTTGTAAAGAAATTATCTGTTGTCACTATTCTCCCGCAACCATTATATGGTTCCATAAGTTTTAGGACTACAAATTCACCTAAAGATACTGATAGTCTCATTTCGTCTTTTCCTAAGTAGGGAAATGCATTCACAACATATTTACTTTTTACATCCGACGGCAATCAGAATTGTATACCAAACTTATTCGGTTTGTTTGGTATATTGTAAGCATAACCACGAGACGTGTCGATTGCCATAAACAAATTACGATCACACGGTGCCCCAATACGTAACGTCACCTTGAAGAAATGCAACTCTGCATTCTAGCGAATGCAATACCGAAATCAAGATGGTCAGCGTCTACACCCAAGTGACGCTGACACATCAAAACTATCCCCTCTGATTGAGACATAGGAAGAGGATAAAAGGGACGTGAGATCGAACATAGAAGGCGACTCCAGACTCTCAGCTCTCGGGGACTGACACGCTGTCGGTCACACCAGAAACACTGTATCGAGCGGAAAACATAATAAAGACAAGTTCATCTTCGAACGAGGGATAATTTATTGTCAGCATCGCCTTCCGTTATACCGCGCTGTGATGGGCACCCTACACTGCTCGCGTCGACTCGACTCACGCAACAAATCGAACTTAATATAATAAAAACAAAGCAAAATAAAAAAGTTTTAGACAAAAATTGTAGGGTTTAAAGGAGGACATATTTTAGTAAACTTAACTTCGTTGTATTGTCAATAGTTCAAGGTCATTTCAAGATCAACTTTATTTATTTAATAGAATTATATCATTTTTTTTAGTACAAATCGATTTATCTCTTCATTTTGCGTATAAAAATACTATGATGAGATGATCGAAAAATAAATGGTTTGTGAGGTAGGTTTATTTTCTATTGCAATATTTTTCAAAATAAGATATGAAATATCTCATAAAGTATTCACTTTTCGATAACTTTACTTTAACACTTTTGTATAATATATAGAATGTCAGATGGAATCTGTAAAGAAATGTAGGAAAACCTTGAAAAATAATTCACTTTGCGCATTTTGCAAATGTACCAATACATCAATGTGTAATGATAAATATCAATAATCGATTTTTCTCATATTATTATATTATATACAAAAATATTAAGGTGGTATTATCGAAAAGTGAATACTTCATAAGATATTTCATTCATATCTTATATTGAAAAATATCAAAATAAGTAAAAAAATAAAATATTTTGAAAAGTATTCACTTCGGTGATCTCACCCTAGTATTTCATACGCAGAATGAAGAGATCAATGGATTTGTACTAAAAAAAAATTATATAATTCCATTAAAAAAGAAAAATGAAGTTGACCTTGAAATGACCTTGACAATTATTGATATACAACAGAGTTAGGGTCACCAAAATATGTCCCCCTCTAAATCTTACAACTTCTGTCTGAAACATTTCTTTGTATTTTGCTTTATTTTTGTTATATTAAAATGTCTCAACTTAAATACCTCACCTTATATATATAAGAAAGAAACGAGTAATACGGTATCCCAATTCAAGATAATAATTAATCAATCTGAATTCAATAATTTCATTCTCCGCACATACAACTATGTAATCGTTCTGCGACTCGTGAAAAAGTTCATGCGGAATCAGAATAAGCGAGAAGGGAAAAATGAAAAATTTTGCTCGCACGATTGCTACTCAAAAATTTTAAATCTCTGCAGTGCGTAAGAATCTTTAAACAACTCTTTGAGACTTATGATTGAAGTTTTTATTTTTTTGGAATAGCTCCTCTTTCTCTGTACAGAATGTCATATCTTTAGTAGTGCATCTCTAGTAGATGGGTTTCCTAACTACAATTTTGATGGCCCTGATAGTCTCGTAGTTTATAGGCTCGCATAAGTACAGTTACGCAAACAAGAAATTATGTACAGCCCATATATATTCTCTTGCATTCACAGTATTCTTTAAAAATGGTACGTATGTGTTTGCTCTTGCGCGATCGATTCGTCGATGAATCTCGTCGTGTCACTTGCTAGATGATATCCATATTCTTATTTTCTCTGTAGAATTAAACTGAACTCGCAAGAACGACAAACGATGCGAGCGATATGATGATGTAGATCTCTTTGAAATGCTAGCAATCGTTCTGTTTTATCGCCGATTCAGCCAGACGAAATTTACATTAGCGGGGATTAAATCTATATTCGTCTGAGTTTGCTTTCGACTAGTTCCGATATCTCGTAAAATTATACGTTGGAAAGTAATTGACGCCTACATCGTTTTAATGATTCAATCATCAATCGTGCATAATTACTGATCAGTCATCATAATGCATATAAGACTGAACTACTATGAATATTCTTCATCACACGCACGTACTGATTAATTAACATTAAATAAACTATTATATAAGCTCAGACAGTAAGATATATATACAAAATTACTGAACGAGATAGATTCGTGCACGATGAATGTTTCGTATATCGCTTATTGAATTAAATTTAATTAGGTTGACGAAAAATAATACACAACATTGCGAAAAGACATTACTCGGGATATTAATCGTGTATCTATTCATATAAATGTCCATCATTAGTGAGAATAATTATTACGCAATCTACACTTAATTCACACGAGGCAGAGCGTAGAATATTCATGGACGACAGACGTCGTAAAACCTACTAAAATATCACGCAATTAAACGAACATATTTGTATAAATCCTATACATTAAGGTGCATGTTGCATTTTTCGTTAAAATTTCTACACGATAGATTTCCTATCGAAGAAACGGTTGATTGTTAGCATTAATTGATAAACGACAACACGCTAAACTGAGAAAACTGAAAATATCCGTAAAAATCAAACCAAATGCGTAACTGGTAAATTTCATCGCGGAGTATGCAAGATATATACAAGTGTCATATATTTGAGTTGTCAATCTGACAATACCCCCTTATCATTAGAACTCACAGCACAATTCGTAACTATATATAATACGCGGTTAATCGTTAATTATATATAACAATGGTGCTTCTCGTAAAAATTCAGAACTTACGGAAAGAAGCGCCTCGAAATCTGTTCACACAACATACGATGCACTTGCACATTTGGCACTGCTTCCTGCCCAGTCTTAAATCTGACGTATTCAAGATGTAAGCGGCGACATGCCGATCGTTCTGGGATCCTGCTGACCTGGTTGGCTCGGTGGACCAGGCTGGGGACCGGTCTCCAAATTCTTCAAGAGCATATTTAACCAATGTTTTGTTGAGGCGTCTTCTTGTAAACAAGTAGCGAAAGTATTGTCCCTAAGTTGATCCGGCAAGCATTGTCTTAATGCTAATAGTGCTCTGCAAAATTAAAACACATTTAAATTTTAGATACTGTAGGGTCGTATTACATGTAATAAAGATTAATATTGTTACAAGTATTTAGATATTCGAAATTACAAATTGGTATTTTCGATTGGAAATGTTCTAGGGTACTTTGTTCTTTATTGGATGCTTTCCATTTATTGACACAAATCGATACAAGCATCATTTTAGGATGGGCTTCGATAGTTCATATAGATGAATGGTTAATTTAATATAAAATTTTCTAATTGGTGGTCCAGCAAAAAGACTCTAGACATCGGCCAATATGTATGTATGTAATGTATAGATATGCGCTATCGCACCGTGCACTAACGGAACTCTCATTCTGTCTTTGTTACAATGAATAACAAACATAAAATGATGCTCGTGTCGACTTGTATCACCAAATGGAAAGCACCCATTATAAAAAGCGAAAAAGATAAAGTATTAGATGTGTAAATTAATTTAGTGCCTTTTTTGAACAAATTATATCTTCATTTACGAACAACTGATAAACATCTTGGAAATATTCGCTATCATTTTCTAATACTTGACTCCATTTATCGGACAGCTGATGAATCTCTTCTCGATAAAAAGATGGCGACTTCGAATCGATAAAGTTGTCGATGCATTTTCGGACTAAGCTCGTGTAGAATCTAGTTTCTGAATTTTTCCCAGCTTATGTAAGTGAACAGAAATTGATTGACAAGTTACTCCTAGTTATAACGCAAACTCATCTTGAGTCTGAGTAGGATTTTCATTCAATAATTGTTCAAGCTCCTTATTTTCACATTTTTTCGGCACGCCAGGACATTCTTCATCAGCAGGAGAGAAATCATCACTTCGAAACTTTTAGTATCATTTTTTACAAGTTTTATGTGTTACAGCATTTTCCTCTAAGCTAAGCAAATCATATTTGCAGCCTCAACAACATTTTTTTTAATTGGAAAATAAAACAAATGCAATGTCTAACATACGGTTTATCGATAGTCATTGTGTTTAATGTTGTTTTGAGATGTTATGTTGTCAATTTCACCAAGCTATATAGCGCATTAAACTTTAAGGTTGCGCTTCGAAACCTACCAAATGATGGGAAGATATTCGAATTTAAAGCGAAATTATGATTGATTAAAGATAAAGGCACCGAATCGATCTGCACACCTAATATTTACAAGTAAAATGAATTATTTGACTCTCAACTCTTTTATTAAATTAAATTAAAATAAATGTTGCATTCAATAAAAATTGAATTGAAATAATAAATATGCATTTATATATTTCAACACTTACCTGGGATTATCTGACAGTCTCAAGTAACACCTTACAACGTGTTTAAGTAATCTTGCTGATGGATCTTTGGCTAAGGATAGAACCATTTTCCCCAAAATCATCGCAACATGACTAAATCTGTCATAGGTTTGACAAATATACGATAGACCACTGTCATCCAAGAGTATCTTTTGCAATATAAATGTCGCGACGGTTTTGCTTAATTCTGAGCCGCTTTCCATAATTCGCAAGCATAAAGGAATGATCTCTGTAGTTAATAGGAAAGTAATCACTTCTTGTTCGTCTGTCTTGACTAATGCTCCTATTACTCCAAGACTAGTCAGCCTTAGATACTCGAAAGGTCTAGTCTTGCTCACAGTATGCAAAAACGGATATAAAAATAATGGAACATGAGCCTGAAAATAGATATGCAAAATATAGACCATATTAAGATATCAGGAAATATATGTATATTGTAAAATTAAGCAACCGAATCTGAGATATGTTTTTGTAATCTTCAGAATATTTTCATATTCCGGCATAAGATAGATAATAGAAAAAGTCAAAGAGAATTGTTCAATTTGTTATCTTCTATATAATTAAATAATATATGGAATACGAAAAAATGTCTCAATCCAAAACTTTAAGTATTCAGTTAAATTTGATAAAATATGCTTCAACTCAGGCTTAAGGTACAAACAGTTTATTATATGAAAACCTTCCTGGATCAAAAATAATTGACTTTTTCCAAATATAGAATCTGTATTCTACTGCTGCACTGACTGCACTAGCTTGCAGTAGTTCTCTTTTCTTCTCTTCCATTAAATCTCAAGAGAAAAAAAAAACCAATGCAAGCTAGCCAATGCAACAATAGAAAAAAGACATCGAATCTTTTGTAAATGATTTGTATGTTTCAATTCGTTATACAAAACATTCAAAATAAAGTAAATCTGTTTAAATTGTTGCATGATCTTACCTGTAGGAATGCGGATCTTGTCTCAGGATGGCTGGCCACACATTGCAACAAAGCCAAGGCGTTGCAGACACGATTGCTCTGATAAGCAGTGAGGGTTGCAGGATTAATAGCCGGATAAATGTTGATGATCTCTTGCAACAAGGAAGCTGTAGTGCCGAATGAATGCCACAGCATAGGCGCCAAATCAGGCACTACTTCGCGTTTCTTACTCAATTCCAAAAGCGCATTCTCCCGTGTTTCTGGGTTTGACAGCTCAATTATCCAAGTATAGACCTTCTCACGATCGACAGTAGACTGCAGAGTAGCCGGACTTTGTTGGGAGCTCATTGTGACTTCTGTTCTTGATTGCGTTGTCCTTTGCGTTTGTTTCTAACGTGTGGAATGTATAACTCACTCACACACTCACACACTCACACACTTTCTCTCTCTCTCTCTCTCTTTCTCTTTCTTTCAGTAGTGGTTTCAGACAGCCCAATGGCGCATCCTCAACACCATGCTTAGAAATATAGAACCTATAACGGATTTAAGAAACTGTGTAGAACATAAAATGAGATTCCAGTGCGTTTCACCAAGAAGATAAAAAAATAAGCGGTTCTATAACGAACAAAGATCCCGCAAACACGCGTCTTTTCGGAAGCACGTCCACACCATTGGAATACTCCGGCGAAATATATAATCTTCTGTTCTGTACGAACCTTCAAGAATCAAACTGCGGCTTCTCGAAGCTTGACGGTGTCTCTTCGTACGCGTATTTCGCGTACGATCGATCAGTTCACGATACTCGTTGTCTGAAAGAATTAATTAATTTCTTATCGGAATTAATATGTATTCGGCGTCGTCTTCGTACGTCTTCCAACTAGTTCTCAATTTTGGTTGTGGAACCTCCTCACAACATATCCTCATCACCATTCGTTCTCCAACTAAAACCCGTATCAAACTACGGATTGAAAATTGAGATTAGGTCTGTTCGTTTTCGCTGCACGGCTGAACTAGTGCAATAAGTTGAAGCGAGACAAGTATATGTTTTCTCATTTCAACTTATTGCACTAGTTCAGCGGTGCAGCAAAAACGGACAGACCTCTATTGAATCGAAATTTGACCAATTGGTGCAAAGTTCATTAAATTTTATTAAACTTGAGTTCAGTGAACTTTGTACTGATTGGCCAAATTCAATTAAATCTCAATTCATAATCCGTAGTCCGATATGAGCTTTTTTCGGTAAGAACTAGAAGTTTATCGGCTACCGCGCGAACTTCTGCCGCGCGGCAAATGTTGCCGCGTCCTGTGGGCAGAAGCCATAATTTTATTAGCTTTATAACTAGCTTTTTAAGGGAAAATTCATATCTTGACAAAAAAGCAACAGCCAATCAGGACTAGTGCTGATAGTTTCTACTTTATCTACTGTTTACTAGAATCTTAACCCGTCAGTTCCCAATGCACCTTCCAGGTGGCACAATAGGTCTGTTTTTTTTCACTACATTAAAACTGCATTAGAACTGCACTGGACTAAACTGAACCGCACTGGGAAAAACTAGTACAGAATAGTTCAGTTCAGTGCAAAATTTAATGAAGAGGTCTGTTCGTTTTCGCTGCACCGCCGAAACGCCAGAGTGTAGTAAACAACATGGCACATCACATGGCATTATTTGATTCTTCTGATGAAGAAGATTTTGTTGTAATGCAACCACTATTACAACCCATTGTAGGTGAAAACGATGAATGTAACATACAACTAAATATAGCAAGTTTATTAATAATTTATAATATTATATTGTGACCGGATGTCACTAGCTGAAAACATCAACGTATAATCCCGCCGAACCTTGAGAAAGAAAGTTCCCCATGGATGCCCGTCCACGGTCGCCAGGGCGTTATTTTTGAGAGCTTCCCCCAAGCTCCAGGCCCGGGAAGCTGGACCGGCCAAGTCTCCCCAGATACGCCTTTACTGTTAGGGATTGTATCGAAGGATTCCCTTCTTGCTACAGTTGTCGTCCCCGAAGAGATGTTCGGATCACCGGACGCTCGCCTCAGACACTGGGTATGGGGATAGGGAAACACGACAAAATGAACACGTACCTCGTGAGAGTAACTAAGATAAAGTTTATAAAGAAAATAAATAAAGCAATAACAAAAAATACTGATCCATAAATCCTATGAACGAATCTTATATAACTAATTTTCCGATCTCACCGCTACGCCGAATAAACAAAACTATTATCCCCACGTGTCGTAGTTCGGGGATGTCTTAACTTTTATCTATCTATCCCGACGCAAGACTGTCGTCGCGAACACGTCGGGACCCGATCGGGCGCGCACGGCAGGATGACGCAACATGCGTCACCTACCGTACCGGATAGCCTTTTGATCCCGCCGACGACGGAATTCTTTCTCTCTTCTAAAACTTAGTGGTACGGTTTCAACCACTGGTGCCGCGTTCCGGGTCGACCTTCACACCGGATGCCTCGGTTCCCAGAAGGGACGTCTCTGTTTTTACGGAAAGTTACGAGGGGGAACAGTGGCAATTTTTCAGCGCACTTACCGTCGCCAGGCGATCGGTCGTTTCCCCGCGTCTCCCTGGGCCTCCTCCAGAAGATTTGCACCAGGATGTCTCCGTCAGCTTTCTCCTCCGTCAGCAACTTCTCCAATGTCACCTCGTCTGCACAGTTAATCGCTCTTTTTTCCGAATGTCCATTCTCTCGCTTCCCGCTTCCCCATGCTACTGCGCGCCTTTCCTTCTTCTTCCGATTTCAAACATTCTTCCCCCTCCGCGACGCTTCCCAATTCGCCGACGGCCCCCGCCAATCATCATCGCCCCTCGCATTCGTGTTCATTTCTTTCGGTGACCTTTCTCTTCTTTTGTTCCGCCGCTCCTCTCTCCGCGGCTGACCCACCGGTTGCAATTGCTTCTTGGATGGAAATACTAGGTTTGTTTTTTTCGAAACACTTTCTGCACTAGTGCACACCAGTGCAAGAAGTTTACACTAAAGCGTTCTTTTTATCAAGAATGACGTCATCATGACGTCATCAACGCTGTTCGTTTTCGCAGTGCAACAGCATGTAGTGCAGGCAGTTCAGTGAACTGTTGCACTGAGTCAGGAGGTAGTGTGGCGAGTGCAGTGCATGAAAGTGTAGCTTGGAAATGCATGTAAACGTCACGGAAATACGAAAGTCGCCATCTTGTTTTTTCGCATGTAGGTCTGTTCATTTTCGCTTCACTAAAACCGCACTAGAACTGCACTGAAATGAATTGAACCGCACTGGGACAGACTAAAGGTCTGTTCGTTTCCGCTGCACCACTGAACTAGTGCAATAAGTTGAAGTGAGAAAACATATATATACCTGTTTCGCTTCAGATATTGCACTAGTTCAACCATAGAGATATAAGAATAGAGGGAACAAGCCTGTAAGTGGAAGT